TTCGTTCTAGATCTCGGTCCCTCCTGTTCTCATTTGGAGCAGCGCTTTATTTTTACTATTCGTTCTTAAATAAATATTATTTATAATTTTACTCACCCTCGTCTCTGCTTGTGATTCTTTCATGTCCTGGGTTAAACATATTCCCATCATGACAGAATCAACTAACCAAAAGTCCACCCCCATGGAAGAATCACTTCCACCAGCTGTCGCTAACACTCTAGCAAAACACGAAAGATCCATACAAGCCGTCCTTGACCAATTATCCTCCACCAATCAACGTTTGTTCCAGCTTGACTCCACGTTTCGCCAGATGAATGACGTGATCCGTACTACACCTCCGTCTACCACCACTTCCACAGTCCCATCCCAGTCATCACTCCTGGTTCCTCCACCTGGGTTCGGTTTCTGGGTCGCCGAATCTCCTCAACCCGACACCTTTTCTGGCGAACCAGGTAACTGCCGTAGTTTATTATTATGCCAGTTAGCTTTTGAACGTTCCCCAGAGACTTTTAGTAATGATTCGGTAAAGATCTCATTTATTGTTGGTTTGCTCCGGGGTAAGGCCTTGTAGTGGGCTGAGGCCAAGAGTCGCCAGCCTAATTTTCTATGCGGCTCCCTCTCAGATTTTTTAAATGAATTCAAGCAGTTGTTCGATTTCACCGAATCTCCGGCTGAATTAGCTAAACACATTTGGAATCTGCAACAGGGTAAACAATCTGTTTCTGAGTTCACCATTGAGTTCCGTACCTTCACTTCGGTCTCCACCTTAGACGAGGCCTCTCTTAAAGCCGCTTTCTCTCAGGCCCTATCCGAGCGCATCAAGGATCAGTTAGCTTTTTGTCTGGAACCAGAGAACCTTGAGGCCCTTATCATCCTGGCCACCACATCGAGAGGCATCTTAAGGAGAGACACAGAATCAACCTGTTCAGAACCCCGCTGGTTTCATTTCCCCCTCAACGTGTCCACCAAACTCCACAAGCTTCCCACCCTACAGGATCAGAGGAACCGATGCAGATCGGAAGTGCTCAACTGTCTCCTGAGGAGAAGCAGAGGCGTCGCTCCTAAGGGCCTATGTCTGTATTGTGGTCAGTCTGGCCATTTTGTCCCTACCTGTCCGGTTCGGCCAAAAGCCACCGCCCACCAGTAGAACCGGGATTACTGGTGGGTGGGAATGCAAGTAGCCCAAACTCCCGATGTTCCTTATCCTGTTCTGTCACCTTTAATCAAAATACTTTTTCTGGAGGTGCTCTGTTAGACTCAGGCTGTGAGAGGAACATTTTGGATCTAGCAGTCATTCAGCAACTAAACATCCCCACTGTTCTACTCCCTTCACCCATAAAGGTCTCCTCACTGGACGGGAGTTCTCTCACCACCATAACCCATCGCACAGCTCCGGTAAATCTGTTGATTTCTGGAAATCACCACGAAGTAGTGAGTTTTTTCGTTTTTCCTTCTCCACAGTCTCCTGTAGTCCTGGGCCACAAATGGTTGATCAATCACAATCCCCACCTTGATTGGAGAACAGGGTCGATCGCTGCCTGGAGCCCTTTTTGCTTGTCCCACTGCCTCCTCTCAGCTCCCCTTTCTGTCAGAGAACCCAGGAGTCAGCCACAAGAGCCACCTAATTTGACGGAAGTCCCCTCAGAGTACCATGACCTTCAGCAGGTATTTTGCAAGGACCGTGCGTCCTCATTGCCTCCTCATCGACCCTATGATTGTTGTATCAATCTCATTCCTGATGCAGTTTTACCCTCACGTCGCCTATACAACCTGTCCAAACCTGAACAAGAAAGCATGGCTAAATACATCTCTGAGTCCCTGTCTGCAGGTATTATAAGGCTGTCCACATCCCCCCTGGGTGCAGGATTTTTCTTTGTGTCAAAGAAGGACGGATCCCTACCTCCCTGCAAAGACTATTGAGGACTAAATCAAATTACCATCAAAAACAAGTACCCTCTACCTCTACTCTCCTCCACTTTCGACCCTGTTAATAATTCATCTGTCTTCACCAAGTTGGATCTACGCAACGCTTATCACCTAGTAAGAATCCGGGAGGGGGACGAATGGAAGACGGCTTTGAAGACCCCTCTTGGACATTACGAGTATCTGGTCATGCCGTTTGGACTCACTAATGCCCCCGCAGTCTTCCAGTCTTTGGTGAACTCTGTCCTGGGTGATTACATAAACAAATTTGTCACGGTCTATTTGGATGATATTTTGATTTTCTCCAGGTCGCTCACAGAACACCGCCAGCATGTCTGAGCTGTGCTCCAACGCCTTCTCGAAAACCGCCTGTACGTCAAAGCCGAGAAATGTGAGTTTCACGTCTCGTCTGTCAAGTTCTTAGGTTTTGTCCTGGAGAGTGGTCGGCTGAAGACAGACCCCGATAAAATCGAGGCAGTTCGGACATGGCCAACCCCGGAGACACGTAAGCAATTACAAAGGTTTTGGGGTTTTGCAAATTTCTACCGACGTTTCATCAGAAATTACAGTCAGATTACCACACCCCTCACCCGACTCACCTCAGTCAAGGTTCCGTTTCTGTGGTCCCCGGAGGCCGACCAAGCTTTCAACACCCTCAAGACCAGTTTCACCCAGGCACCCATTCTTACACGCCCAGACACCTCTCTGCAGTTCACCCTAGAAGTAGATGCATCTGATACTGGAGTAGGTGCTGTTCTCTCCCAAGTCTCTCCCACAGATCACCGTCTCCAACCCTGCACCTTTATGTCTCATCGTCTTTCATCTGCAGAACAAAATTACGACGTGGGAGACAGAGAATTTCTGGCCATCAAGCTGGCTTTAGAGGAGTAGCGTCATTGGCTGGAGGGTGCAGAACATCCAATAATAATATGGACAGACCACAAGAATCTTGCATATTTAAAGGAGGCAAAAAGACTCAATCCTCGTCAGTCCCGCTGGTCATTGTTTTTCTCCCGTTTCACATTTGTTATCTCTTTCAGACCTGGCTCCAAAAACATCAAGCCCGATGCCCTTTCCCGACAGTATGCTTCTGATAAAGACACCAAACCCACTACCATCCTGCCAGCCTCCTGCATTGTTGGCTCCATAGCTTGGGACATCACAAATAAGCAAAACTGCATTGCTCAGCGATTTAACCACTTTTTACACAAAGTAAGTAAATGTGTGTTTAGTTGATTGTTTATTTGTAGTAAATGTGCTTCCTGGTATCAGATAGCATGTTGTTGGACAGCCTGGTTAGTTTAAAATAAGATATAACTTGTACAGATCAGTGGAATGAGAAGCACATGTTGCTGGAGCTCCTAACAAAAGTGTCAAATTTCCTTTGGATTATTTTGCTGCTGGCATTTGTTCTTGTTTTTGGTCTTTGAGGTGTTTTCCTATCCCAGGTGTAAGGATGCCATCTGACTGACTCTTGGCTGAAAGCTCTTGGTCACATCGTTTGGCTGACCTTCACAGGCTCCTGGTGGAGGAATGGGATGCCATTCTTAAGCAGAATGGGACCAGACTGGTACCAGTAGGAGGAGGTGGAACCAAACTGGATGAGTTGAATTTTCCTCATTACATTGGGAATGTTTATTGATCAAATCCCCCAATTACCCAATCTCCTACCACTGTCATTGCCACTTGATGGTCTCACTATGAATCTGGGACTGTCTTTCTGCCATATCGACATGGATGGAAGCCCACCACCTCCAACTCAACCAAACCAACCACACAGCACAGCATTTCAATCTAAACCCAATCCCTGAATCTTGCTACATAAAAGGAAGTGTCATGGTTTGGGGCAAGAGTCTAATCCAAGACATGCAGAATCAGTACAGGACAACGGTTGAAGGAAAAATAACAATCTTTTATTAAAGGAGAACATTAACTAATGGTGCACTGGAAGTCCAGCGGGTGAAGGAACGGGAAGGCAGCGTCTAGAGGGGAGAACAACAGAGGTGAGTCCTGGGAGATGTAGTCCAGAAGGGGAATAATGAGTGGGGACTTACGGAGGTCGAGGAGACTAGGTGAGTAAGGGGAGGTCGTAAGCCAGGGGTTTGTTCAAGAGGTGAAGTACGGAGCTGGAGAGGGAGCGGAGGGTTGATGGAGAACGAGCTGGTCCGGACGGGTGGATGGCTGAATGAAGAAGAGGAGCCGGTGTGGAGTCCAATGGATTCAGCATGGGGTTTCCTGATGGTTAAGAACTGATGCTGATGGTTAAGAACATCTAGTCATCAATCATCCTAAAATAGCATGTCACCCTTCTGTTTGTTGAGCTCCATTTGCTTTCCCTATAGCCACCTGGATCAATAGTCTCCATACTTGAATCCTCTTACAAAGGCTCACTTTAGGACCAGGTCAATCCAGTCATCAAGCATTGCCAGTTAGAAGTCCAGACGTCCTGTGCCATTTCAAGATGGTGGAATGAAAAGTCATCAGATCAGAGGCATCTCTGTTTATCTTGAAGATTATCTTGAATCCCCAGCTCTTCAGGGAGAATCCCCAACACTAGTACCTACCCTGCTCTCTTCTGTTCCTCTACTGCCACCCATCACCCCTGATAGAGGCCAACTTGTGTCCCTCAAAATATTTCACTATGAGTCTCAGTAGTAACTGCATTATTGTGTTGTCCTATCAAACATAATCACAAACAACAAACCCCAAACCAGAGTTAATACCAGCAGGACAACATTACTACATTTTTGTCCATTTCAGTTGTGTTGCTCATTTCATCAGTTAATCTACTCTTTGTGCTAAGTTTGAGAATACTTTCCTTTAAAAAGTAAAGAATTTCTGAAATAAACAACTACTTTGTTTATAAAACTCTGCTTGCCATAGCCGATCCTACCATGTTATAACATGAGCTGACCTTCTGCCAGAGAAACGTAATAGCTCCCTAATAGGTCCCTTTATTATTTCATGAGATGAAAAGTGACATCCTCTGGCCCAGCGTTTACCCCACCCTGTACCTAAAAGCTCACTCCACCCTGTGCTGAATATTCATAGGCGTGTCTTTAAAACGCTGCTCCTGGGCTGGTGCAGTGGGTGCCTGTTTCTGTTCTCCCACACTCAGCGTGCTGAGCTGCTACACTTCAGTCCCACTATGTCCAAGCCTCTGTCTGACCATGATAGAAGGAAACAAATTTCAGTGCGAGGCCTCGCTGGCGTGGAGAACGTGGCAGACCTGAAGCAGAACTTCAACAGACACCTCCACTTTACGCTGGTGAAGGACAGAAATGTGGCGGCCAAAAGGGATTACTATTTTGCTCTGGCCCACACGGTGCGTGACCACTTGATTGGCAGGTGGATCAGAACCCAGCAGCACTACTATGAGAAAGACCCCAAAGTAAGTTCTGCTCATTACAGCATGGATAGAAACAGACATCTCTCTATAAAGAGGGTGGCATTAAAGCTGCTGCAGTCACTTCATAGTGGGATCTAACAGCTTTCTGCTGTGGAGAAAAAAATATGTCTCATTTGCATTTTGAACCTTTTGTTGAGGCAGCAACCAGCATCCCTCACTTTGATGCAATCAAAGGCACTAAAACAACACGCTGGTTCATGTGAACTACACGAAATTCTCTCGGATTGGGACTTTTAATGTGACTTTTATTTAAATGTACATGACTTTGGTCCAACCCTTTGACCCAACAACAAACCTTGTTTCCCTTCACAGAACAGGCCTGGTCGTCAGCATCACGATCAGCTTTCAGGAAACATTTGTTTTCATGACAAACACAAAACCAGAACAAAGGCAATAGTGTTCATCCAAATCCGTAACTTTAGTCGATGTTAGAATCAAGTGAAGATCTTTTCCAAGGAGCTTGCTGACATTTAATGAAACTTCAAGCAGCTGCTCATATTTTAAACAAACAACGTCATTTTTAGCTTCCAGAGCTGATTTGTGTATAACACTATGATTAAAAGTAAATAAATAAATAAATAAAGGTTTGGCAAACTATTAAACACATTTTAACGTTAGAATCACCTCCAGTGCTTGATTTTACATCTATGTTTTAAATAAATTGGGTTAGGATTTGGCTTAGAAAACACACACACACACACACACACACACACACACACACACACACACACACACACACACACACACACACACACACACACACACACACAGCCATCTTTAAGTGTAAAAACTAAGTCATGACATTTAGGTGGAGGGATCGCAGCGCTCTCCTGGTATGCTGTCTTGCTTATAGTTTGTTGAAACATTAAACCTCCACATGACCTTCTGTTCTCGTCCCGTCTGACCACAGAGCACGTAGAGTCCTCCCTCGCACGTCGACCAAGCATGTGGCTCCAAGGACGTCTGGGTTGGTGTAAAAGCAGTCCCGTTAAAGATGTTCAGCTAGAAAAGCTTAGAGAAACAATACTGTGCAGGCTCATGAAAATAAAGCCATAAAACGGCAAGCTGCACCACATTATCGCTCGGAGAAGTTGCACTAAATTGTGTGTAATTACAGTCAGAAGCAAAACAAAACTCAGTCTCTGTTTAGTGAGAAAATATAACGTTAGTGGGATCATTAATGAGCCAAATAGAGAAAAATAACTCATCTCAGCTCTGTTTACACAATTAATAATTTTATTATGTGAAGCACTAATCTCAGAAGGTTAAATGAAAGCTTCTCTGTAAAAATGTTCAGGAAGAACAATCTGACACCTCGGAACCCTGATCTGTACTGAAAGGTCAAAGGTGAACCCCGTACTGGTCTGGTCAGGTCAGAGAAGGATAGAAACCAAGCCGACAATAAAGCAGGTTAACCAAAGTTCTCTAAAACTTCTTGTTGTGTTTAACGTGAACTCACACAGCGATCTGAGCTGTCTTCGTCTCTTCTGACCCCACAATCAAAGGTTATCGGGTTCTGCCTGACCTTTACAATGACCTCTACAGGAGCTATTCTTGGATCGGCCCAAAATATTAGTGTTATGTAATACCCAAAGTAATCTGTCCCCTCCCCTCTCATCTTCCATCCTGCCTCTGACTGTGTCTGCCCTTCCATGTCAGGATAAAACAAACAAACAAACAAATAACACACACACACACACCATTTAAATGGCAAAGGCTAAGCACAGGCTCAGGTGGCGAATTTAAAATGCTCCCAAGCTTGAAACTAAATCACAAAACCTGAAGATTTCTTTGACACTCGGCTGCAGGTGTTATTGTGACATTTGGCATATGATTTCACAGGTTCATAGTTTCAATGTCAAACATGTCGCTGTCGTGAAGCTGTGGAGACCTTTCAGAGCCCCATCCGTCTTCACAACTTAAACAGTTTGAGAAGTTTTTGTTTCTTCTTCTTGACAAAAATCACATAATATTCCTTTTCTTTACTGTCTGAACCTGCAGCGCGTCTACTACATCTCTCTTGAGTTCTACATGGGTCGCACGCTCCAGAACACCATGGTGAACCTGGCTCTGGAGAATGCCTGTGATGAAGCCACGTACCAGGTGAGACAAAGGAGCTTATTTTAATTCTCTTATGAGAGAGAAATTCTCTTGTCTTCTTCTCTGCCTCCCAAAAAACCCACTGGATGATGGTTTTACTGGTCTTCTTTAGTTGGGTTTGGACATGGAGGAGTTGGAGGACATGGAGGAAGATGCTGGTTTGGGGAACGGTGGCCTGGGCCGCCTTGCTGGTGAGATACATTTTACACTTCCTGTTTAAGAATAAAATATATTTTTGTGTCATTTTGAAGTTTATGTGTAGAAATGAAAAAAATAATCACTATAAAACATCCTGAATGGCCTCAGCTTGGAGAAATAGAGTTTGGATCCAACAGGACTGAGGAGCTAATGGCTAGTTTGAATACAGCAAGACCAGACTGGACCTTAAAGCAAATCAAATCTTCCAACATTTCTAAATGGACCATAAAACAATGCTCATACGGATTTATGATATTTCATGAATATCACTAGCAGCAGCTTCCAAACATTGAAGACATGGGTCAACATAAACAGGATGTGCCTGCATGCCACAGGCATTGATTTATTTAAATGAACGTCTCTGAGAAAACTATTTAATAGTGATTTTTTTTACCTGCTCAGCAACATATTAAATCTGCATCATTTATTTAACAGAATAGTATTCGTACTTTGTAGTAAAATAGGATCTGGAAATATTTATAGACGAGACATAAACAGTAAAATGGTCTCAAAAACCATAATTTTCCCCAGAGCTGATGAGTTGGTTGTATTCTAGTTTCTTTTTTAGTTAATCAGCTACAACAAAACACAACAGCAATCTGCATTGTTTGGCATCACAAAGTTAAGATGGTAAAAAACTGTCTCCTGTATAAACAGTCTATGCTGCTGGGAACAAAACTTTAGGATTCTTGAGGTCGAGGTACAAACAGAATCAATCATATGTCCACAAAGAGCTCATGGACCACACTTTGGTCCCTTTCCATTGGACACGTAACGTCTGTGAAGCACAATACAGAGCAACTTGCTGCCATCATCGTGGATGGGTGCGTTTCCACCAGCCTTTAGCGGAGCGACAAATCCCTATGCATAGAGACGCATCGCTCCGCTGAATCTCCACTTCGAGTTTATATTTTACACGCTACACTTCCAGAACTTAAGCTCAGCAGTTCATAATTGGTTGGACAGGAAGTCAAACAGGAAAGCAGTGAAAATCACCTGGAACCTTTCAAAATAAAAGTCATACACAGATATTCATTTGCTAAACTGGTAAAAAATAAGTAAAAACTCTGTAGCCGATGTAAATGGAACAGGAAATAAATCAAAGACCTTTTTGGATACATGCCGCCGTATTTTCCCTTGCTTGTGTTATTGGGGGAACTGCTGAAAGCACGTATGCAGTTCTCCGGTGATTTTGCGGCTTACGGGTCCAGCCGTGTGGGACGCCTTTGCTGAGTCTGAAACACTCCCAATCTGAAGGGAGCTGGCATTAAAGCGATTTATGTTATTTTGTTACGCGTTGCTTACGCATGCAGTGGAATGCCGGAGTAATGTGACACTTACTTGATTGTGGTGTAAAAGTTTAGAGAATAATGAAATTTAAACATGCTTAAATATGGCAGCAATCTGGCTAGCCTTTAGCTTATCCATCCTAGATATACACTCTGTTTCTCCAATTAGAGGCTTTTCAGGAAGCGGGGGTGGGTGGGTTCCACCTCATTGTTTAATGTCTGTGCCGTGGTGTGATGCTGTGTGTGTTTTAGCCTGCTTCCTGGACTCCATGGCCTCACTGGGCCTGGCTGCCTACGGATACGGCATTCGCTATGAATTCGGCATCTTCAACCAAAAAATTGTCAATGGCTGGCAGGTAAGAAAACCCAAATCTCAGTGTTTTATTTGAGACTTTTCATTGTTTCGTGATTCTGTCTATGCTCTATCATATTCAGGTTGAGGAGGCTGATGATTGGCTGCGCTATGGCAACCCCTGGGAGAAAGCTCGCCCTGAGTACATGCGTCCCGTTCATTTCTATGGCAGGACCGATCATCAAACCGATGGTGTCAAATGGGTGGACACCCAGGTGAGTATACACATCAGAATAAACTTACATCAACAATCACAGCTGAAAAAAGTGTGTGTTTGTTGGCACTAGGTGGTGTTGGCTCTGCCGTACGACACACCAGTCCCGGGATACAGAAACAACGTTGTGAACACCATGAGACTCTGGTCTGCCAAGGCGCCCTGCGAGTTCAACCTCAAAGACTGTAGGAGTCCTTTTGAATCAGGCTGGTCTATGAAATTAAACTTCCACTGACTGCTCTGTTTTCTTCTTGTAGTCAATATCGGCGGCTACATTCAGGCCGTTTTGGACAGAAACTTGGCTGAAAACATCTCCCGTGTGCTCTACCCCAACGATAATGTAAGACAATATTTCTTTAGACAGGAAACGTGAACGTTATTGCTAATGACAGAAGGCCTGTGGACAGACGCTGCTGTTGGACGACTCTTATCAGCTGAGAAATGGACTCACATAATACAGACAAATGCCTTTTCTGTTCAGTTAAAGCCACTTCGAGCTCTCACAGATTATATTCTTTTCCAGCAGCTGTCTCCTAAAATCTGACTTAGAGCTTGACCACAGCATTCTAAGAGCTAAAGGAGGAGGATTTACAGCAGGAGATAGCCATCTATTGAGCTATAACTCATTGTAGGTTTGGTAATTTATGGTGGAGGAGGAGAGAGCAGAACCTCTAATGGGCTTTGTGTTTAAGACCGAGCTGTGCTGCTGTTTGTTTCTGTCAACGATAAACAGCCAAAAGCAGAATCAATGTTTAACATGGGAATCTTTACTTTTTGTGGGTTCATTCTAATGATAAGATGATTATATTTAGAGTTTGCCTTCAGAGTGAATGTGTGTCTTCCTGTCCAGTTCTTTGAGGGGAAGGAGCTCCGCCTGAAGCAAGAATACTTTGTGGTTTCTGCCACCCTGCAAGACATCATCCGCCGCTTCAAGGTCTCCAAGTTTGGCTCCAGGGAGGTCGCTCGCACCGACTTCAACACGCTGCCCGACAAGGTGGAGCCCAAACCTTACAGATCAATTCTGTCAAAAGTGAACAGATATGAACAGATAATTTTCTGTCCAGGCTTAGAACAGGTGGCTTTAAAAAAACTGATCTAATTTACAGATCAAATAAAAATGTTGTCCTTTTTTGTGTGTTTGAACCACAAAGCAGAGTTTCATTTAAAAATTGTTGGACCAATATTTAACATTTGTAAACCTTTTGGTGGCAGTTCAATCCAAGATGGCTGCTGTAGCCAATTGTTGTCATTAAACACCAGTTAAAGCAACACTAAACTTTAGTCTAGAGCTTTAACGTTGATCTCAGTGACTGTTGGGTTAGAAATTTGACCAGTTTCATATTTGACCCTCTGCTGGCCAGATACTGCATTTTTGTGGAGGGGGTAGGTGTTCTAGGTGCTCTTAGATGCATTATGGCTGTTAGCTATTTTCTGTGCAGTTAGCTTTTTCAGTTTGCTTATCGTCAACAGAAAGCACAAGAAGAAGAAAATGTTTGCTTTTTGTTGGCGTCATGGCGGAGCCTGGAAGTAAAAGTAAGAGAGTAATGCTAACAGCTGTAATGCATGCGTGGGAGCACCCCCTCCACAAAACTGTTTGGTGCAGTATCTGACCAGTAGAGGGCTGCAGAGGGGTTTCAAAAGTGAAACTGTTCAAGTTTGTAACCCAGCATTTACTGAGATCAATGTTAAACTCTAGCTTCAAGTTTAAGAATGTTAACATTTTGCAGATAGTGAGCTAAGGTTTTATGTGTTTATAGCTCAGAGTCATCCTCTCAATGCTAAAGGATCTTTGTTTGCTCAACCTTTTGAATCCAACCAGCAAAAATGTCCATAGCTTTGACAAGTGCAGAGAAAAAATGTCATGTGGTAGTGGTAGGGTTACGCACAACTGCTCTCAGACCTGTTAACCTGTTAAAGTGGCCATCACGTAAGATGTACTACAATAGGATTTATCTAATCTAATTAAAACCCAATTATTCTGTCAAAAGAAAATATTTTATACAAAGAGTCAAGGACGAGGGATGGAGGCCCTGAATCACCTCACAGAGACCCACATGCACACAACAATCACACGTCTGGAGCTAAAACAGCTACTTACGACCTCCACTATTTCTCATTTCTTCAAGTAATAATCAGCCTGTCTTTATATGAAGATTTAGGAATGAACCCCCTATTAAAAAGAAATGAAATTCATCATATTTTCATCATTGTGAACACTAATTCCCTCTGATATCATTCTGCACATGCAGGTTGCCATCCAGCTGAACGACACCCACCCAGCCATGGCCATCCCTGAGCTGATGAGGGTTCTTGTTGATGAAGAGAAGCTCACTTGGGATAATGTAAGGACTTTTAACCTCACGTTGAAGTTTTTCTACCTTTGTTCCTGCTTAGAGGTTGAAGTCCCTGCTGTAACCTGAGCTGGTTTGGTAGGCCTGGGACATCTGTGTGCGTACCTGTGCCTACACCAATCACACAGTCCTCCCTGAAGCTCTGGAGCGCTGGCCAGTAGACCTGTTTGCTCATCTGCTGCCCCGCCACCTGGAAATAGTCTTTGAGATCAACCGTCGCCACCTGGAGGTCAGTGCTGCTTACTGCAATGTGTACACCACTGCTACTGTGGTTTGATGTCATAAAATCCTGACATGGATCACTTTTTTTTCATGAGAAAGGGACAAAATGTGAATTCAGAGTAGACTAACAAAGGCACATGGCTGGAGGGGGAAACAAATTGAAAACCTGAAGAACAACATGTTCATTTCTAATATTTGATACTCGTCTGGTTTGGAATGGCTTTTTGATTGTTGCTGCAAAAGGAGACAACATTAAACCTGTTAGATTGCAGGAAATGACTTTAAAGATTGGCATGCTGTGATATTAAAGTCAAAGAACAAATTCATTTTATTTTGAACATCTGTCAGAAGCGAACTCCCACGTTCCCGCTGAAAAGAGGGAGAAATATTTCTGGCATATAGTGGCGGGCAGCTTTGCACAATGAATACACTTTCATCTCCAGACTTTCATCTCCTCACACGTTGATGTAAAATGATCGCGTTGCTGGCAGCTCAGTGGTGTTTTAGAAGAGCTACATTGACCTTCACTGTGCATTCTAAGATTGACTTTGATTCAAGAATCCCAAGCTCTAACACACAAACGAATCCTTAATTTTCCGTTGCGTTTAATTTTGCAGAGAGTTGCTGCCAAATATCCAGGAGATGTAGATCGCCTTCGCCGAATGTCCCTGATTGAGGAGGAGGGGCAGAAGAGGATCAACATGGCACACTTGTGCATTGTGGGATCTCATGCTGTCAATGGTGTAGCTCGTATACACTCCGACATCCTCAAAGCAACAATGTGGGTCCTGAAAGCCCGACACATACCCAAAATACAAATTTAGATGTTAAGCAGTTTTTGCATCAAAAACACAACCTCAGATGGTCTGAAAAATCTCATCGTTATTCTCTTCCTTCAGTTTTAAGGACTTCTTTGAAATGGAGCCACATAAGTTCCAGAACAAAACCAACGGCATCACTCCTCGCCGCTGGCTGGTCATGTGCAACCCCGGGCTGGCCGAGGTCATTGCTGAGGTCAGCGCTGCTCTGAACCCATGAAAAGAACACAGAACGCATATCTAGGTCACACTGCATGCAGGGTAAAAAACACAGTTTGTTTTATTGTTGATTAGAGAATTGGTGAGGAATTCATTCGGGATCTGGACCAGCTCAGGCGACTGCGTGACTATGTGAATGATGAAGCTTTCATCCGTGATGTTGCCAAAGTCAAACAGGTGAGCAAGCATCTAGTGCTAATGTGACCATTTGGTGTGTATGTCTAGTTTTGTTCGTTTTTGGAGTTTGTTGTTTAGTAGTAGTTCAGAAACATAAAATTAACCTGCAGAGCTGTTGACTCGTCTCTGATCAGTCTCATATCTTCCCCGGTGTCCTCTAAAGCACACTGCTCCAATTATAAAGTCATTTACAGCAAAAAGGGCGGTTCTGTGCAGAACTGCAGACCTGAGACTGAAGCAGTGTTTAGCCTGAGCGTGCACTTGCCTCAGATCCATAAACACCTTTCAAACTCACAAGTAGTAGCAGTGAAGTAAAAGGAAACCAACACACATACACAATAACAGGCTTCTTCAAGCACAAACATGGAATTCCCAGAATCCTTCTGGATTTCTCTCTTAACGTCACAAACGCGTCTCACTTTCATGACTTCTGTTTGGTCAGAAATCAGTCCAGATGGAAACATTTCACAGCTATGGAAGCTAGCAGTCGAGCAGTGAGGTCTTTTATCCGTGACCTGAAAGTCGCTTTCTTTTGTGAGTTTCCTGTTAAAGGTACAAAAGTAAAAACATACAGTAACACTTTACAGCAATGGTCCCAACATGAGCTTACCTTCTGACTAACTATTAATGAAAAAAAACCAGGATCTAATGATTAAGTAATGATTACCTAAGCTTCACAACCATCCTACATTAGATTTATTATCTAATGATTCCTGAATGATTACTAAATGTTTGATTAGTCCTTAAATGACTAGATAACTAATAAGACACTAATGATTACCTAAGCCTCACAAACACACCATAGTGGATTTATTAGCTAATGATTCTTGAATGATTCCTTAATGCTTACTTAATTGTTGGCAAGTCAAATAACGAGTCAGTCAGTAATGATTAAATAATGATTACCCAAGCTTTACACCCAGCCCCAAAGCAAATGTATTGGCTGATGATTCATGAATGATTACTTTGTGTTTGGTCAGTCATCGGTACAGAATCAGGAACTAAAGACTTATCAATAAATTATGTCAAATTTGATAGTTTTTAAAAAGGGTAAAAAGGTTGAAACAAGCTCAATATTTTATATAAATATAACAAAATCATAATTTACAGATGTTTTTAGAATTTTCTAAAACTTCTCAGGAAAAATTAAAAGTGAGAAAAATGTTAAATTTTATTTTGGTTTTGAACTGCGTTTGGGCATTTTTCAATTCAAACTTTGTTTGGCATCTATATGTGTGTTTTATTTTATTTTATTTTTTTTTTTTGCATTAAAAGTGGTTTAGCACTGAAAAGTTAGCATTTGCTAATAAAAGCTGCTATCCGGAGGTTTCCCCTTTGAGGAATTATGTATGGAATAGTTTGCATGCCTGGGCACATGCACAAATTATACGAAGGGGCGTGACATTGTAAAAGGTGTGATCAGTTGCCCAAGTCCCTTTTCGTCAGGGCTGTGCTAACAGAGGTGGGGCTGAAACTTGCAAGGAAGGAGCACAACAGTGGTGGCTCCATTTAGGAAGACCGTCGAGATGGTGGAGTTTATTTTGAGGAATTATATAATTTAATGGCTATCGGTTGATTGATGTAGTTATTGAACTCAGTTCTGAAGATGTAGCTACGAAGCTAACGACAGTTAAAGCTCTACAAATGTAACAATCAAACGATGTGGACGATTAGGGCCCCTTTTTTTTCCCAAAGTATTAGAGTTTAAATTATTATCAGATGCTGCCAACAAAATAGTTTTAAAACAATTTATAAGTAAATGTTTGCATATTTATTGCAAAATCTCCATTTTCTGTTGCTTTGGTGCAGCAACAATGTTATATTAATAAGAAATTATTATACCTTGCAATGCTTACAGCATCGTTTAAGCTTCACGTGCACAGATTATTAAGAATGCGTTGTTTCCGCTGTGAGATTAGAAAATAGGATCAATGAAAATAAACGTTTGTCATGGACTCCATAGAAACTGTCAGAAAATCCACAAATGGTGACTTTCGAATGGTTTTGTTACTGACAGATTTTTGTGAGTTAAGAAAAGAAACAGATGAGACGGCATATCCGACAAATTTGTTTTTTGTTGGACAATATTAGAAAATGTCAGGAATGTCTGAGATGCTTTTAAAAACACTTTATAACTAATACTCCTGGACAGAGTATGAATTACATACAGGCTTCTGGGGGGTGGGGGCCCCAAAATGCCTTGAAACGGCCCTGGGTGTGTGACTGATTTCGATCGGTGATCTGAATTGTATCAATTGCAATATTACATGTGCATAATTTATTGCTTTATACAGGTTATATATATATATATATATATATATATATATATATATATATATATATATATATATATACATACATATCATGTGTTAATAACATATATCTATTTTTTTTTTGCCACTTTGAGATGTACTGTGCGCCATACGCAGCGAGCACACCAACAATCAGCGCTCTGCGTCCTCTCCGCAAAAAAAAGAATCCTTGGTACGCTGAGAGTCCATAAATATTGTAATATAGGTAGAAACTGGATCTTTTTTCGAGCTCTCTCTGAATGTTTAAGTTATCCAGCCCCCCATAATTCTATCCCTACTCCTGGATGAAAAACCGGACATTTTGATCAATGCGGGAAACCCTCTCAGATGCCCTAAACAGAGAGTGAAAAGTGGACATGTCTGAGGAAAAGAGGGCGTGGGGTCACCCTATCTTACAAACCACCAAATACAAAAATGAACGTCCGGCCCCTGACTAACAGCAGAACATGAACGCTGTCTCAGGAAAAATTCCATAAAAGTTGTTTCATGACAGGGACATAAGTCTGATTTGAGTCCAAGTCATATGACTCAAGTCCACACACCTTTGTTTCCTGTTTTGGGAACCTCTCTTCTCTGCATTGTGTAATTGCTTCACTATCATGTAGAGTTTTAAAAGGCATGTCAAAAGCTTCCTTTCTCTTGCAGGAGAACAAAATGAAGTTTGCTGTTCACCTAGAAGAGCACTACAAGGTGAAGATCAACCCCAACTCCATGTTTGATGTCCAGGTCAAGAGAATTCATGAATATAAAAGACAGCTGCTCAACTGTCTGCACATAATCACCTACTACAACCGTAAGAATGCCTTCAGAAACCTCTGGACCAAACTACTTGCTTCTGTCTGAACACTTGGACGTATCTTATAGGCATCAAGAAGGAGCCAAATAAGCTGTGGACTCCTCGAACCATCATGATTGGAGGAAAGGTTTGTGTTTCAATTGATCCTTTTGGCATTAGAAGGTTTGATAACATAAGGGTGACAGGGTTTGTCCTGCAGGCTGCTCCTGGGTACCACACCGCCAAGATGATCATCCGGCTGATCACAGCCATCGGTGAGGTGATCAACAATGACCCAGTGGTTGGAGATCGTCTGAAGGTCATCTTTTTGGAGAACTACAGAGTCACACTGGCAGAGAAAGGTAGTCAAATCACTGCAAAGAATGGAACACAAGGACTAGAACATAGTTATTAACTGCCGTCTGACACCATTCGGCAGCCATCCCGGCTTCAGACCTGTCAGAACAGATTTCTACAGCTGGCACCGAAGCCTCCGGCACCGGAAATATGAAATTCATGCTGAACGGTGCTCTGACCATCGGCACCATGGATGGGGCCAATGTTGAGATGGCTGAGGAGGCCGGTGAAGAGAACCTCTTCATCTTTGGCATGAGGGTGGAGGATGTTGAAGCACTCGACAAGAAAGGGTAAAGAATCTACTCCCCGTTGTGTCCGTCACATAGAAACATGGTAAATATAAGTCCTAAAACAGTTGTTCTACATGTAACATGATAAAATGTCACATGGTTAAACGAGAGTGCAGAGAGAGTGTGCTTCACAGAAACACGATCGTATCCATGTGGTCTTGCTCTGGTTTTACTCATGATATCTTTCTTGCTTTTGGCCCATTGGTGCTTCTGTTTCCTTGTCAACACATTTTGAGGTTTTCTTCTCTGAAAGATGTAGTTCTTGAGGAACACGATGCTGTTTTTGTATCTGCTCAGCTCAGTGCTCCTCCATGAAAGATCAGCTGGTTTGGTCAGCTTATTTCGTTTGTTTTTGATCCTACTTAGATACAATGCTGAAGAATACTACAACAGCCTGCCTGAGCTGAAACAAGCTATTGACCAGATTGCTGGTGGCTTCTTCAGCCCCAAGCAGCCCGACCTGTTTAAGGAAATTGTCAACATGTTGATGCATCATGACAGGTACAGACTCACCAATCATCAGCTGCTTGAGGGACAGACAGACAGACACACACACACACAAACACACATACTAGCACGCAAGCACACACACGTACACATACACACGCATGCAAGTACACACGCTCGTGCCCCCCCCCCCCACACACACACACACTTGCACATACACTTGTATACACACACACACACACACACACAAACACGCATACACGCTTGCATGCAAGCACACACGTGCATATACACATGCATGCAAGCACGCACACACTCACGCACACACACACACAGACACTTGCACGCAAGCACACACACGTGCATATACACATGCATGCAAGCACACATGCTCATGCGCCCCCCCCCCAAACACACACACACTTGCACATACACTTGTACACACATGCACACACACAGACACTTGCACGCAAGCACACACACGTGCATATACACATGCATGCAAGCACACATGCTCATGCGCCCCCCCCCCCCAAACACACACACACTTGCACATACACTTGTACACACATGCACACACACAGACACTTGCACGCAAGCACACACACGTGCATATACACATGCATGCAAGCACACATGCTCATGCGCCCCCCCCAAACACACACACACTTGCACATACACTTGTACACACATGCACACACACACACACACTTGCACGCAAGCACACACACGTGCATATACACATGCATGCAAGCATGCACACCCACACACACGCACACGCACACGCACACACACACACACACACACACACACACACACAAGAATGTGTGTGTAGTTACATAGATATCTTATTTATTGTGTTTTTTATTTGTTTAAATAATTTTATTGTCTTCCCAGATTTAAGGTCTTTGCTGACTATGCAGATTACATCAAATGCCAGGAGAAAGTCAACGCTCTTTACAAGGTATACATAAAATATGAAAATATGAAAAATAAGGAAAATAGCAATACCAATGAAGAACTCTATCACAAATTTCCTCTGTCCTGACACCAGAACCCCAAGGAATGGACCAAGAAGGTGATCTACAATATTGCAGGAAGTGGCAAGTTCTCCAGCGATCGTACTATCACTCAGTACGCCCGGGAGATCTGGGGAATGGAGCCCACGCTGGAAAAGCTGCCTGCTCCTGATGATAAGCATTAAACTGTCCTTATGACAGCCAACACACACACACACACACACACACACACACACACACACACACAACACACACACACACACACACACACACACACACACACACACACACACACACACACACACACACACACATACACACACACACACACACACACACACACACACACACACACACACACACACACACACACACACACACACACACACACACACACACACACAGGCTTTAGAACCTGTGTGATGTCTGTCAGGAAGCCCCTATAAACCTTCATCCGCAGCAGCAGCATCAAGCCAAATACAAACATTTTGAAAGTTTACATGTTTCATGCGTTCACGTGCACAACCCAGAGTTCATGCTGGTGCTTAGACTTGTTAGTTTTCACTGGAGATGTAAAAGTCGCTGTTCAGCTGCTGGAGGTGGATGAAGTCAGGTTTGTGGCAGGCTTTGTACATTTTTTTGCCGAAACCTTTTATAAAAATATTTGCTCTTTTATGTCCACTCAGAATCATTCTGAATAAAAGTTGTCTTAAAAACAATGTGTGACCTGACTGACCTTTTGTTGGGCAGCAGTAGAACACGAGGTAGAGTGGGTTCTCTAGTAATCCGAGGGTTGTAGGTTCGACCCTGACTCCAGGCAGAGAAATCTTCTGTTGTGTCCTTGAGCAAAACCCACGTTGCCTGGAGGTCGGAGCGAGGCACCCTTGGCGCCAGTGTACAGCAGCCTCACCTCTGTTAGTGTGCCCCAGGGCAGCTATGGCTCATCCCCACCAGGGTGTGTGACTGAGTGAATGACTGTGTTGTAAAGATCCTTGTGGGATTCTAGCACTCTATATTCGATGTGGTCTACGGTTATTACACTCACTCTAATCGGGACAAAGACAAACATTTTTTCAAGTCCTGAATGTAGTTCCCCACGAAGGACTTAATTTAAAAAAAAAAAGTAATGAAAGAAGATGGGAGAAGTGGATGAGTGATCTATGGCTTCAAACAGGAGCTGAAACAGACATTGCTAGAGTTTACAGCGATCACTTCCAACAGGTAAGAGATTACTGAGTGTTTTGTTAAACAGACATAAAAACGACAGGTTAACAATTTTAGACTGTTTTCACGTGTCCTCACTGCAAATAGCTTTCAGAGCGCTAATGTTTTTAGCAGTTAGCTTAGTGTTGTAACATGGTGTTTATACCTTATTGAAATCCAACAAACGTACCAGAAATTTGGATTTAAAAGGCATAAAAACTTAGTTACGAGTAGATCCAAGTACATACTCAATGTTAGCGATAGCATTAGTATCATGAGCTAATGAATTAAAATGGCAGAACTCACTACCTGAGCAAAAACAAGACAACGGCTTAAAGCTTCTGCGAATCAATAAAAGGTTAACCAGCCTGAAATAAAACAGCTGAAGGCTTCCAGGCTTGTAAAAAGCTTTTGTTTGCCTGTCAGTGTAATATGAGGCAGGCAGCACAAGGTAATTTGTTGCTGGGTAAATCCTCAGCAGTGTGTGAAAAGTGTGACTTTTAAAACAATATGGGTCATAACCTAAAAGAAGATGTAAATTTTACTGATACCGTGTCTGTGCCAGCTCATTTAAAACCTTGGTGAAAATGCTTTCATCCATCGAGCTGTGCTGTATCAAGAGGCACCTGGCTGCAGACCTCCAGTGTCAGGCTGCTTCCGGTGGAGGCTTCACTGTCAGGATGGTCAGGTCCCTCTCACGACCACAAGCAAGAAACAAGCGAGAAAGGAGGGCCCATGGACGTATTTGGCATTGATGAAGCCTGGGCTCAAGCTGGCTACCCACCAGGTACCTTGAGTCACTGTTGCCCTGTCCATGACAGTCACGTCATCACATTCAATGTCAATATGGCTAATGCTGTCCATGAATTCTGTGACAACCAGGATGTCAACTCTGACACTGCCTTCTGAGCAACTAATGGAATCACTGACCAACGCCACCAGCTGGCTGAAAAAGTAGAGAGAGTTTTAAGGGCAGCTTCAATGGAGAGCTTTCTGAAGTTTTAAACATCAGTGTCTTTGTAAGTTTGTTTCCTGTCAAAGTTGGTCATGTTTAATAGTGTCCATGGACTCAGTCAGGAACCCAGGACACAGCACAGTTTGTAGGTCCTCCGGGTTACATTTTTAAATGATAGTCCACCCTTACCCACACTGTCAGTTTCTTGGCCCCTCCCCTCCCCATCATGGTGCTGACCATCAAATATGTAATCAAGAGCCTCGCCTACAGCATATCAACCTGTCGTTGTGCTGCCACTCAATGAGCAGATCCTCAAAAGGGATTTATATCACAAAGCGTAAGAAAAAGTAGTGTGTGTGTGTGTGTGTGTGTGTGTGTGTGTGTGTGTGTGTGTGTGTGTGTGTGTGTGTGTGTGTGTGTGTGTGTGTATGTGTGTGTGTGTGTGTGTGTGTGTGTGTGTGTGTGTGTGTGTGTGTGTGTGTGTGTGTGTGTGTGTGTGTGTGTGTGTGAAATAATCTTTGTGGACAGAGTCATGGAGCGTTAAGTTAATCCGAAAAAAATTCCTCTACATTTTTCAGAGATGGGAGCGGAACACAACATGAATGAGAAGTAACTGGCATTTAGTCTAAGTCCATTTCAGTTTAAACAGGTAACTTAGGGGCAGAACCAAATGTAATGAAACCTCCACCAAAACAGGCTGGTTGGACTTTGTGGTAAATGGATGAAAGGGACAATCTGTGACAGCAGCAGCACAGCAGAGATAAGAATGAGTGATTAGGTTTTCCTACGGTAGCCCTCATGTCAACATGAGTACGAAACCTGTTTTTTTTTGTTGTGGACTTTGGCACAGTCGCATGGGGTCATAGGGAGCTAATCTAGCTGTTGTCTCTGACTCATTCTGATAATAGTTTATGTTTAAAGGATTAACTCAGAAACCACATCAAACAACAATAACTTACACACACTGTAAACAAAATAAAACCGCAAGTGAGATAAGAAGCTGATTTTGTGGATATTTTGACACAAAACATATTTGAGTGAGTAAAAACTACTCAGATAAAGTGTCAGCAGAATGTGTGCTGAAGTGAAACATTCCCCAAGGGAATAGAGTAGTACACCTGAAGGTTAATGTACACCTGTAGTACCAACTTGTAAAATGACTTGGCATACAGATAGGTTCAGTGGTTCCTGGCACCTTTAAGATGCTGAAAAGTTACAAAGTGTTCATCATTTATATCATTGTACACATGTTGCAGATCCCTCCTCACCGAGGGAGGAATGGGCATCATGCAACTCTTGTGATGTATCAAGCGAACCTTGAGACGTCTGAACCAACGTTGCATGCATCTCATCATGCCCATCAGTCCAATGACTGTCAGAGCTGTCACAGAGTGACATGTGCGCACGTGCCTGAACATCACAGTTAAGTCCATAATTTCGGACTGTGACAAGTGCTCTTTCATGATCCCGGAGTTCAGTTCCACTCCCAAATATGATCACCTGAGGAGTCACCAAACTTTTCTCCCCATTTATGGAAAACCCAAACCTGATGTTCTGCCAGTGTCCGCCAGTCTGCATCGGACTTGGAGCAGATCAGAAGCAGGAGATCATCTAGAAAGAGGATTCTCATGTGCTTGGTGCTTAAGGGTTGGTGCGCCACCTCAAGACACGTGGTGCAAGGGAGTACCTGAAAAGGAAGTATGTTGCATTGGTACTGAACTCCGATGAAGGAGAAACGCAGGAATCTCCTGTGTTTTGGGATCACCAGAATGTGAAAATAGGCATCTCTCAGGTCGATGCAGGTGAACCAACCGCCTGGATGCACATGCAGTCAGGTCCATAAATATTGGGACATCTACACATTGCTAACATTTTTGGCTCTATACACCACCACAATGGAAATCAAATGAAATGAACAAGATGTGCTTTAACTGCAGACTGTCAGCTTTTATTTGAGGGTATTTACATCCAAATCAGGTGAGTGGTGTAGGAATTACAACAGTTTGCATGTGTGCCTCCCACTTTTTAAGGGACCAAAAGTAATGGGGCAATTGGCTTCTCAGCTGCTCCATGGCCAGGTATGTGTTATTCCCTCATTATACCAATTACAATGAGCAGATAAAAGGTCCAGAGTTCATTTCAAGTGTGCTATTTGCATTTGGAATCTGTTGCTGTCAACTGTCAAGATGAGATCCAAAGAGCTGTCACTATCAGTGAAGCAAGCCATCATTAGGCTGAAAAACAAAACAAAAGAAACCTATCAGAGAGATAGCAAAAACATTAGGTGTGGCCAAAACAACTGTTTGGAACATTCTCAAAAAGAAGGAACACACTGGTGAGCTCAGCAACACCAAAAGACCTGGAATACCACGGTGGTGGATGACCAAAGAATCCTTTCCCTGGTCCTGCTATCAGCGGAGACAGATGCAGAAAACATGGGGTAAAGCGAAAAGCTGTGTCACAATCTGTGTTAGGAGGTGGAAGTAGCACACCAAACCATCACCTTTAGTAAAAGGTGAAGCTAGGTAAAGCTCCTTCTAATGCTGTTCCAGTAAGCCAGAGCTGCTGTGAGCTGAATAATAACTGGATAGAAGCAACGAAACTGGACAGCGCCGTGCTGGCCAATAAGCCGTCCAATTTAGGCAGCATGGGCACGGGAACAGAAGGCCATAGCAACTAGCTAACGAAGTGGTGCTCTCATGGCCAAAAAATGGCATGGGAGAAGAGAGTGGGAGCCCAATAATCCAATATCCGTTCTCGTGTCCGTATCCCAGAGAAAAACCTAATCTGACCGACTAGCAGAGGCCTCAGATGCTACATCTGACTGATGACACATTGTTCTCTGCTATAACGCTAACGCAGAAACACCAGAGTCGGGGGTTGTTTACTATAATTGTTTCAGCAGAGCTCTTTGAGAAACGTCACCAGCTGCCCTGGGCTTAGACTGGAAGTTAGTTTCTGTTTTTCCCGCGCCAGTCAAAAACATCCGATTTCTTAAAATTCCAGCCGTAAAAATCCAAAAACCTTTTTCATCTGAGGTTTTAATGCTTCTTTATACATGCCACTCAAAGGAATTTCGCCTCTGGCCAATATCTTTAAAGCAAATTAAAGTATAAAGAACTTGTGTTGGCTGGTGACTTCAACTGGGACGGGCAAAATACAGTTTCAGATGAATTCCAAAGCTTCTGTGACTCCATAAATCTTAGCCAGTTGGTCAACCAACCCATCCATCCATCCATCCTTTATATGAAACCCCTTTGTCCACACAGGGTCACGGGGGTGGGGGGCGGTGGGAGGGTGGGGGGTTGGCACCTATCTCCAGTGGTCAACGGGCAATCAGGCGGGGTACACCCTGGACAGAGAGCCAGTCCATCGCAGGGCAACACAGAGACACACAGGACAAACAATCATGCACACACACACTCACACCTAAGGACAATTTGGACAGGCCAATTAACCTAACAGTCATGTTTTTGGACTGTGGGAGGAAGCCAGAGTACCCGGAGAGAACCCACGCATGAACAGGGAGAACATGCAAACTCCATCCAGAAAGACCCCAGG